AGGGAGAAAGTAGCTTTCAGCTTTAAAGCAAAGGATTTGGTGCAAGCAAAGGATTCATTGCACCAAATCCAATGAAGTTCTCATATTGACATGTGCCAAAACATCTCTACTTGAAAAAATCCTCTGGGATAGACCTATCCAAGCTGTACAGGAAGGTGCTCGTACTCACCTTGTACCAGAAGTTCACAGTGATGGTAATACCCCCATTCAGGAGAGACTCAATGTGGTGCCACCTGCATGGAAACCACACAAAAAAGAAAATAAACTATTGCTGTAGCTTATAGTGAAATACCTTGGATGGATGAGTTCAGGCAGCACTAGACAAGCCTTGACCTATACCTCCATCATCAAGACCTCAGAACTTCTGGAAAACTCCCCTTATTTAAATACAGATCTCGCACACATTAGTGGAGTACTTGCACAATAACGCAGCATCAGGGAGAATTACCACTCCCATCCAACAGACAGGAAGTAGAAGCAGACTGGCCCAAGATATCACAGAAAATATCATACTTGCTGGAGAAGTCAAAAGAAAAGTCTTTTAAGAGCCAACCCAACACTTTAAGCAGAACACTTTTTAAATCGCTGTTTGCTGGTCACTGTGCAGTCCCACCATCCTTCTTACCAGTACATAGGTATGTATAGCACATCCCCCGGACCCACCACCGTCTCATAGCCAACCACGCTCCGGAAGTTTGGAAACTTCTCATAGTCAGGATTGTCAAAGTCCACCTAACAGAAGAAAACATTAAGAAAAATCAGAAGAGCTTCCTGCAATGAAAGTCCCCATTACTGGCTCCCACTATCAAATCATCCTGATCTTCCTTATATGGCTTCTGCATTCCCATTGTGAGGTCCTGCAGTACCCCCAAAGTACCACCAACTTAGACAGGAGTCCTGCAATTTATCTCTAAGCAAATCTGTGTTTGACCAAGTGACCAATGAAACAGAACAGAGAAGGTAGCAACTGCAGCCCAGTTGTGCTATCAGTAAGGGGATGTTTATAGCCCTAGCACTTGGAAGTCAGGACCAGACACAAACAAAAACATCACTAGTCTTTCCATGTATTCACCAGTTAACAGATCTGAACACAGGTTTTGCAAAAGCTCAGCAAGTGGTATGCAGCTTTCCTTCCAGTGCAGCTTCCTCCCACCTAGCATCTTCACAAATGCCCCTTTTTGGCACAGGGCAGAGAACAGATCTGCTACTCTCACCTGGCTCTGTCTGTCACATGGATGGTGCACAGGATAAGGGTAGAGGCATTCAAACTGATCAGGAGGGAACAGGATACACCTCTTGTAACCCTTAATCTGAGCGAAGAAGTTCTGCTGCTCATCATAATGAGCTGGTGTCACATTCCCTACACAGAGAGAAAAGATGATAAACAAGACACTCTCAGTACAGGTTGAAAGACAGAAGCAAGTTGTATTCCTTGCTAAAGACAGTAAATACACTCTCACATATTTAGAAAACTAAACAAGGAAAATGACCACAGGAACATTACAAATTGATCACTATTATCAGTCTGCCTTTATTGAGCAGTTGCTACTTAATTTCCATTCTAAATCCATATTCAGCAACTTATGCTCTACAGGATTAGGATTTCCAGCTTGTTTCCATGAACAGCAGATGGTGAGTGTTGACAGGAAGCTTTTTCATAAAGCACTCTCTTTAGATGACAAGTTGTGGAATGGACTTTCAAAAATTATTAGTCTAGAGAAAAGGAGTTTAACAGTCTGATTTTGAAAAAACTCCTAGGAGTTTTGCAAAAGAACAAGTAAACAAATCCCTTTGTCATTGGGTGTCCCAACAGCACCTCCTCAGTCTGATTAACAGTTCTGAAGCTTGACTATTGCCACTAGGTCTTAAATGTAATCAAATCTTTAAATACAGCGGGACATTTTTTACCCCTCACAACTACATTTTTCAGGGTGTTTGCCAATTCAGATATTACTCTTTCAGCTTGTTCTTTATACGTATTTTCACTAAAGAGAATTAAGATAACAGGTAAGCCCATAACTTCATCAAATAGATCATACAATCACATGCTCCTGTAAAGATGCTCCTTGAACACTGGTTCAAGACAATTCTTCGGTTCTTGTGCATAAACTGTTGATAACAGGATTTTAGTGATCATATCATGACCTGTAGGGAAGTGTTGGTGCAGTGCTTTTATGTGAAGTTCTCTTCTCTTCTCTCAGCTAGTAAAACACATGGCAAAGACAAACTACTGTAAGTTGAGCATGACTTGTTGCAAAGGAGAAAAAACATCTGCTGTCACAACTGAACAGCTATGAATTGCCAAGTAATTGTAATTGGATGATTATAATTGGATGTGATGGCCACATTGATTATAGGCCATCCCACTTCACAAAACTGTGTACGTTCCTTGCCCAGTTATTGAGATTACTTTCTACTAGAATGCTCTCCTTGTCAACAGCGTAGTAGTACCTCTGTCTTCTAAGGTGCCTGCCTATGAGTCAGTCTCCACATGGATTTGGAATTCCACTCTATCCAGATATTTTTACAATTTATCCATCTTCAAGTTCTCCAATGCCCTCCAACCTCCCCAAGAAGAAATTCAGCTCCTAATTGAAAGAGAATTCCTCCCCACAGTGTACCAGCTCAAACAAGAACAAATGCTTCACAGAATAATCAGCATTTCCTCCTAGGTAGACATTGGACATGCTAAGAAAAGCCCAGAACACAAACTTTGCTCAACTTGCAAACCCTTTTGCATTTTAAATTTGAAGACTCTGAGCATTTTAAATCTACGGCATCTGAAGCTTTCAAACAATAAACAGGTCTCAGAACATGATTAGCAATTACTGAAAACACAGCCCTACCAGCACCACACAGAGCCTTTCCATGAGCAGATTACATCCAGGCATTCACAGTATGTCCCTGGGGAGATACAAGCTACTCCTTTGGTTGTTTCCTCTCTATAACCCAAGTTAAGTTGTGACAACAGGCCCCCCCCAACCCAAAGCTTTAAACTGCCTGCTTTGAGGGAACACTTAGAAACTAGTGGAAAATCCATTTGAAAGACCTTCTGGAACTGAAATACAGAACTGCTGACCAAATCTTTTCCCCTTCTCCTCCAATCAGAGGAAATTGCTTACCTTCCATGCCAATAAGAAGCAAGTTAGAAGTCAGTTGACCCCAGCCACGTTTCCCTTGCTGCTTGTTAATCCAGTTCCAGTTGAAGCCAAGGAAATCCACCACAATCTTCCTTCCAACTGTGTCATTCAGGGTTTGCTGCAGATATAGCCTGTATATTCCCAGAGACAAGCAGAAATCAAGTATTCAGCTTTGTCATGAACATAAAGACATATCTCTGCATCCCTTCAGAAAGATTTCAAAACAAAGATACATAACTCCCCTAAACGTTCTGCTCTGTCACCACACACCATAAACAACTGTGGAAGGAAACAGTTTCAAAAACTCCCCAAACTTTGCTGAAAGACTTCCTGGTACAGAGAGGAACAGAACTCAGTTCTGCTTGAACAATCACAAGGGAAAAAGTGAATTTTAGAGCAACAACAACCCCCTTGCAGTGCAGGAGGAGGAAACTCTAAACAGACTGGCCACTATCAAATATCAAATGCATTCATGAATAATCCCCAGATAGATGCCACCACTCTAACTTAACTGCAATAGGAATTACCTCTCCTAGTAAAAGTGCATGAGGGCAAAAAAGGGCTTGGGAAACCCAGTATGTTTCAGTATCAAGTTACTTTAGAGCCACACTTATGTTTAGACATAGAGGATCAGAGGAATCAAACATCTGTATTAACAACTGCAGTATTACAGACTACTGTCTACAATGCTGGAAGAAAAATGCATTTTTAAGCTCAAGGACTGCCTTCTCTCTGGGAAAAAGCACACCCAAAGCTGAGAAAGAAGAGAAAGGCACGGACAACAAGTGGACACAGACACAGAGTTGCTTCCAATTAAGACACAATTAAGCATCTGTAAGTCCTTTCAGAGGGCTGGTGACTGATAAAATTAACTAAGGGTTTAAGAACAGTTGCTAATAGTTATATTCCATATAAACGTAAAGCTCCTCTCTGTAACTTACAGCTCTGTTAGTGGTGTAGGCCATCGCTACCAACAAATATACGGTACATATGCAATCTTTTTTCATCTTTCTGAAAGAAGGTTAGCACCAGATGCCTTGGTATTCTGTAAAAAAGGCCGAGTGCCATAGCCTACATCTTTTCATAACTAAGCTCCTCTACCAATATCATAGTCCACCAAAAGAAAGTGAAGCTTAAGGCTTTCTCTATTCAAACACCGCCTCGGACAGAGAAGAAAATAAATAAATAAATCTCTGCAGACAATGTGAACAGTTTGATTAACTAATGGTATGACTTTTTTAATCAGGTAACAAGGCTGCTGTCAACTAGCAGCCCTGCAGGAAAAGCAGGGCTGTAAAAAAAGTGAAAAGTTTGAGAGGTTTTAGTCATCAACACTCACTGATAAGAAACTTACACCCTACTTAGCCCTGCAGAAATGGAAAAACCTCCACAGATCACTTACCTCTCAGCACTCCCTTTTTGTTGTATTTCTTTGAGTCTGTCCACAAACTCATTAAACTTCATCTCTTCCCTGCTTGACTTGGGTTTGAAGTTCTTAAAATTGGCCATCTTTTTCTCATCGTAGTACAAAAACTTGTGTGTACTGGCACTATACACTGAGAAGTCCCCATTGCCAATGTTTTCCTGGAGGTAGTCCAGGTCCCATTTCAGAGCAGGATAAACCAGATTGGTATCTGTCAGCACCACAGGCTCCTAGAGGAAAACAGGAAGTTTATTGATTCAAGGACCTCTTGAACTTGAGAATGATCACATTCATTATTGCAACCACACCACCTCTTTTTGAAAATGGGGAATTGGAAAACGCATTTAGTGTAATCACGTGCCTTGGTCTGGGGAGAAAAACAAGCAAAATGTGATAGGAAGTTTCAAGGAAGTGGTGGCCTGCTCCTGCAGCAAGCTCCTGGTAGCAGTGGGACAGATTCCACTATCTACTTAGCTAATCTCTAACACATGAGGTTAGACAAACACTAGCCGGGAACAGTTTTAGGCCTACTTGGTCCTGCCACGTAACAAGGAGACACAGTAGATTCTGTCTGGTCACCTCCAGCCTTAGCTATGAAGGCGTAAAGGCTGGCAGAAAGATACCTCTGAATCCAGAAACAAGAGACAGCACTCATCTCTTTTCTCAGAGGATCACAGATAACCTTCAGCCATCAAAAAACTGACCTCACCCCATCTCTTCTACACCAAAAAAAGAACCACTACAAAAGGAAGACAAAGGACACTGCCTATCCCCTCACCTATAAGTAGTAAGCAACCTAAACAAGAATGACAGCTGCTGCATTTCCAAGCTGTGCACGCACAACTTCCCTTCTTGCAGGCTTTCTTTAAAGGAAAAGAAACAACTAGCAATCTTACCAAAACGAGATTGAGCTTGTCCAGAACCAACACAAGAGCCATTATTGCAAGGCAACCTTCACGTCTGTGGTCACTCTCACTTAGAAAATAACGAACACGTGCCCATGGTTTTACACAACATTTCCACGATTTCCATCCGGACAACAAAGCACTTAAAGCAAACTTTTCCTGCAAATTCCACAACTCAACGCTGGGGCACCGAAAAGAAACGTCCACTACGACTAAGGGGATCGGGAGAGGGGCAACAACCAAGTCCGCGCAGGGAGGGGGCTCGGCCGACGCCCCGCGGCAGGCAGCGCGGTAGCCCAGAGGGACAGAGCCGGGATGGGGAGGCGAGCGCACCCGGGACGGCAGCAGCACCCGGCAGAGCCCCGCGCTCTGCCAGCCGCCCTGCGGGCCCTGCTCCGGCCAGCCTGACGGGCAGGGCTAGCAACCCCCGCGCCGCAAAGCGCAAGCCTCCCGGCCCCGCCGCAGCCCCCGGGCCGGGCAGGGCCGGGCCGCCGCCGCACCTCGTTCTCGATGAGCTCCTCGGCGCGGGGGTCGCTGTGGCTGAGCCGCGGGATAGGCCGCGTCTCGAAGGAGTAACGACGGAACTGGGAGTCGCTCCAGCCGGGCCCTGCCGCTGCCGCCACCACCGGGCCATCCCGGCAGCTCGCGGCCGCCGCCGAGGAGGAGGCCGCCGCCATCGCCACCTCCACCGGAGAACCCGGAACTAGAAAGCCAGAAGCGGAAGTTGCCCGCCCATGGCAACGCCGGAAGCGAAGGGGAAGGCGGGAGGCACAGGGGGCACCATGGAGAGGGCAGGAGGGTGCGGCGGCGGCGGCGAGCAGCGCCCCCGCGCGGGGGGAGGTTGCGGGCGGCTTCTGCGGCTCTCCGCCTCTTGGCCCCTTCCGAGGTTGTCGGACACCCGTGGGGGCCGGGACCACCCGCGGGAAAAAAAACACAACCGAAAAGGGAGAGGATTGTCTGTGAAGCCTTCTGCGGGCCTTCGTGGCCCCCGGTGCTCGGCGCCGTGCCACCCTGCGTGCCTTCAGCTGCCGGCCCCTTCCCCTGGAGGCCGCCAGAGCTGCCAGGCCGGGAGCGCGGCTCAAAATGGGGAGCTGCTCTGCTGCCGTGTGGGACCCCAGCGGCAGCAGCGAACTGCCCGCTGTCCTCGGGCCGTCTGCGGGAGACGTACAGCGGCGTTTGTGCCTGAAAGCTAGGGGTTTAATTGACGCCTGCAACAAGAAGAAGTACCTAGCGCTGCTCAGCGTAACTAGCGCCCGCCTTTCGATCACGAACGGACATTGCGTGACTACATCGTTGTAGCAAGATTGCATGAATTGCGTGTCTAGGGCCAGAGCTACTGATTTTTTTTCTTAGTGTATCTTTATCACGTGAGACAAAGCCTACGTTTTGCTTTTAAACTGGAAGCAGCAAGAATGATGATTGCCCTTTCCCCAAGAATGCGTGCCACGTTAGGCATCAGCTCTTGAGAAAATTTCGATCTCTGGCATTCAGTGGTTTTCATCTTACAGCAGGTAGATTTGCTGGTTTGGCTGCATAGAACTTTGCCTTCATGACAATAAAGAATGCAATCTATTTTCCTCTCTCCTTCCAAAATTTATTAATATGCTTAGTTTCCAGGAAAATTAATGCCCCCTCGCCCTTTAAATCTACAGCACTGCTCCTGTACAGGTTAAGAAAAATCTTTACAACATATTTGCAAACTACTCGCATGTTTAGGAAGCTTGAGCCACATCTGTGGGAGATTCAAGCACAAGCCAGAAAGTGAAGAGCTGATGTAAGGAGCAGCCAAACACAATCTGAGCCTGCAGCGAGGTCTGAGCCCAGATCAATGGTGCAGCCAGGCACCGAAGGTCCCCGCTTCCAGCACGACATTGCTGTCCCCAAACCACCACGCGCTGCAGAGCAGGGACAGGGACCGAATGCTGCTCCATGGAAAACACCAGGAGCCTCTGCACCGGAGGGTTGGGCTCTGAGTTAGTAACTTTATTGAATAACTAATTGACATACTAACTTTACTGCATATACTGGTTATAAGGGAGTTGGCTGAATTGAGATACTGTCCCTAGTCCCTAAAATGACATGACGAGGCCTTTCTTTGGGATAAATGAAAGGATCCTATTCTAGCCTGCGGCAATGCCCCCACCTCAGGCAAGCCGTATCTCAGATGTATTTTTGTGGTTCATCGCCATCTTCATTCACTTAGTAGGTTTACAATTAATGTTGTTATTAGAAGGAATGACTTTAATGACAAATTGTCTGTGATAGTTTTTGATCTGCAAAGGCTTATAATGTAGATCGTTATAGAGACATTAGCCATTACAGCTGATGTGAATAACTGAAGGAAAATGAGTTCGACTACCACAGAGTTTACATAATGAAGTAAACTGCAAAATCCTTTAATGCTCATATCGATTTTATCTACAATAATATATCGCTTACGTTTGAAGAACAGCATCGCTAAATTAACATGTCATTTCAGCTGTTCGCGTTTCCCTGGCTCCACGCAGATAAGGCGATTACGTTCGGGTATTAACTTTAATACAAAGAAGGCGATTTGCATAACACCTCCAGCCAGGGCATCGATCCCATTGAGCGCTGAGGGGGCTGCCCCGCAGGGGGCGGCCCCGCCTCCGGAAGGGAATACCTGCCGCAAGCTCCCATCGCCCCGCTTCGGACCGTGACAGCCAGAGTGAAACATCGCACTCACGCCCTTTCCGTCCATTAGCTCTTGTGTCAGTACTGCACTAACGGCGCTGATTAATTAACGCCCCGGACGAGGCGAGGGGGTTGTACCCGGCAGCGCGGGCGGAGGCTGGGCTCGCCCCGTCCCCGCCGTCTCCCTAGCCCCA